CTCCCCGCTGAGCAAGGAGCCCGACGCGGGACTCGATCCCAGGACCCCAGGATCATGACCTGAGCCGAAGGCAGCCGCTTAACCGACTGAGCCACCCAGGCATCCCTGGAAGGTTTTTAAATATTTTTAGTTTTGGCAGCAGGGTACAAAAGAGGAGGGTCCATTTTCACTTATTTTATCCTTCTGTATTGATAGTTGAGCAGTGAAGGAGGATCACTTGGGCAGCTGTTACAGTAATTCTGGGGAAGATGCTGGTGGATGTTTAGGGTACTGGAAGAAGGGGTGGATTTGAGAGCTGTCCTATTTGAATGACTGGGTGGAAGGTCAGGAGTTGGGAGCAGGCAAAGATGACCCCAAGATATTCAAGATTTCTATTTGCCAAGGAAGAGTCAAACTTCTTGCCAGTGAGGTCTTGCTGGGGAGAAGAAGGGGGAGGGAAAGGAGAAGATGGAGTGGGGGCCATCTCTAGGCCCTTCAGAGGAGGGTGCCCTCCACACTTGCTTAGGCATCCCCTATTTTAGGTTTTGGCCAGAATAAGACAGAAGAGAGTACTCAGACAGCAGTATGCTAATGAGTAAGCAACTGATTACCACATGAGACCACATAGCTATTCTTTTCCTTCTAAATATACTTTTATCCATTTCTTTGTATTACAAGCAAGCAAAATGGCAACAGACAGGGTTTCTTCACTGTCTATTAAGACGCAGTAATGGTCTGGAATAAGTTAACTGGATCTCGCATTTTCCCAATTTTCACTTATTAAAGCTTCTCTTTTATTAGACTTAGGAATCATTAATTTCTTCACTGAGAAAACCACTCTCCAGAGGGCTGGTTGGAAGGAGGTATGTGGTTGGGTCTCATTAGGCTGTGGGATGGCATTAGAGGGTCTGATGGCTTGAATTAACCCCAGTGGGATGGTCTGAACCCAACTGGGAGGGGCTGGGACTTGTTTGAGGGGACCTGGGGATATTGTATATACAGATGGACCGTGCAACAGATAGAGTCTGAGAGTGAGAGATATGTTCTTGGTAGAGATGAAGCTAAAGAGAGGAATGGGATGGCACTGAGGGGATATATAGAGCTGTTCAGAATCTTGATCCTGCATCTCATCCCACGCATGCTTTCACAACCTCCACTGAGAGCACCAAACTCCCTTTCTCTGGGAGAGAAAGAGTGAATAATTATGGGGGCTATCTAAGCAAGTCTGAAATCTGTAGGGCAGGCAGTCAGGAAGGGAAGGTCATGGGCAGGCTTAAATCCACAAAGAAGGGCTGAAGCTGTCATCTACCAGCAGATAGGAAGGGAGCATCATGAGCAGAATGGAACTCAGTAGGCACTAGCTAGAGCAGTGGTCCATAGGTGGAACTTCTCTCTGAGCCTGCATGTTCTGTGAATACATGACTTGTGGGGTGTGTATGTGTGGTAGGAGTGGGAGAAAACCCCGGACCAGATGTTGGGAGGCCTGGGTTTGGATGGCCTCCAACTTCCTGCGGCATAAATGGTAGATTCTTTCAACAAACTTTATAAGTCTGAGAATTCTGTATAACTTGAACTCAGGTATTTCCATTTGCATAGAAGAGAAATACAACAGTGTGATCTGTCCGAAGGACAGCTGAGAAAGGTCCTTCTTGTTTTTGAGAATAGTGACTGAAGGAGGAGAGAAAGCAAAATTTCAAGGTTCATGAGTCGAGGCTTATCCTGGTCCTGGGAGTCAGGGAGTTGTCAGGGGGAAGAAGGTAGGGGAGCAGGGTCCGGACTAGGATGAAGCTACATATGAGTCACCATGGTAAAAATAGAGATCCCAGGGCCTTCATGCAGAGGGGTCATGCTTCAGTTGGCTTCAGATAGTGCCCCCCACGGCACAAAATTTAAGGAGGCATCACCCTTAGGGTATTCAAGTACTGACACTCCACTTGCTAGTGAGTGACTCCTTAAAGTTTGCACTGTAGGCCCCTGCTGCCTTTCCCTGGAGGTTGGTATTCTCTCCCTGCCAGGGAAACGGCCAGGGTACTCAGAATAGCTCACCTGGAATGGAAGGAGTCCCGAGAGAAAGAGAAGAGCCTTCCTAGGTAGCAAAACAGAGAAGGATGGCCAGAAAGAGGCCAGTCCCAGTTTAATCTAAAACACACTCTTTTTTTTCCAGCTTTATGGAGGTTTATGATTGACAAAATTGTGATTGTAAAATTAAAGTGTATATCTTAATGATTTGATGTCTATGTGCGTTGTGAAAGGGCTCTTCTCATCTTGTTCATTAACACATCTATCACCCCACACATTTATTTACTTACTTTTTGGTGAGAGCATTTAAGTTATATACTCTTAGCAAATTTTAATTATACATTGCAGTGTCATAAACTATAGTCACCATGTTATAACTTATATGAGTTATAAGATGAATAAGGTGCTCAGGCCTTATGGTGGTTACCATGCATGCAAGCTCCATTCTCTTTCAGAACTAGGTGTTTTGGGAGCCTGTCCTTCAGGTGGAAGTCTTAAAAGTTGGAGTGCAAGATGTGGAGTCCAAACACTTCCCTCCTCAGGGAGAATTTGAGAATTGTGAGTTCCCTCCTGATTATATGTTGCTGTGCCATGGGTGGAGTTTATGGCAAGAGTGTGTCTCAAACTTTTCTGCCAGTTTTGGTGTGGAGATTTCCTCGTTTGCCCTACTGGAGGAGTCACTCAGCTAGTTTCTGGATTTCTTTCGGAGAGGATCGCTCTGTGCGTAACTGTAGATTTGATGTGTCTGTGGAAAGAATTGAATTCAGGAGCCTTGCATGTCATCACCTTGAACCAGAATCCTTTATTGATTCCTTTTTTCCCCCCTGTATATGGGCCATACTTTCTTATTTTTTTGTGTGTGCCTCACAATTTCTTACTGAAAACTGGGTTTTAAATAATATAATACATCAATTCTGGAAATCAGATTCTCCCCATTCCCTAGTGTTTATTGTTGTTGCCGTTTGTTTAGTGACTTTTCTGAATGAATTCTGTAATGTCTATATTCTTTGTCGTGTGTGGCCACTGAAGTCTCTGCTCAGTTAGTTTGCTTAGTGGTCAGTGAAAGATTGGACAGAGATTTGCCTCCGATGCCTAGAACCAGTAAGTCTCTCAGTCTTTGTAGAGGGGCTCTATGGACATGTTGGGGCATGCCTTCAACACTCAGCCAGGAAGTTTACAGCTGTGCCCTAGCCTTCATTTCCTGCTTTTTCAGGGCATTGAGCTTAGCCAGAAATGAGAGCTTAGGACCTTCTTGAAGTCTTTTCTAAGTATGTACACAGTCCTGGGTATGTGCACATTCCTGTTCATGTGCTTACTTTCTAGATTCTCTGGAATATTTCAGAGCCTTTCAAAGTCCCTATGGACACCTCATTCCCTAGCTTTTTATTTTAAGGTTTTTGATTAGCTGATTATTTGCCCCAACTCTTATCCATTGCCTTAGGCAGCCGTAAAGTCCAACAACTGTCTTTGATTATTTTCAACAAACCTCCTTAGAGAAAAAGCTGTTCATACTGGCAAGCTCAGAATCCAGTCAAATTAAGACAGTCTCACAAAAGGGATCTTCCAGAGAGTTCAAACAATGACAGCTCTCTGGAAATGAGTCTTTGAAGGAACCCCAACCCTGTTCTACCTGTGGCTGCCAGGCTGCTGGTTTTCCTTGTGATTGTGGGATATTGGTTTCTAAGAAAGAGGGTGATGGAATAACAACAAATTAAAATGCCACAAAGCTCACTACTGTTCTTACCAAGATTGTGTCGTTTTTCTTGAATATACAGTTTCCATATTGCTGTAAGCCTTTGGTTAATTTCCAGACTTTTAAAAATTGGATTCTGACAAAATTTCATCAGTTTTCTCCTTGCTTTTATGGAGAAGAGATTTTTCAGAGGTCTTTACTCTGGCATTTTCACTGACATCACCTGTAGTATATTTAGAATGCCCTTCTATGTGATTGCCTTCTCATTTCTCAAAACACAGCTCAAATGTCTCCTCTCCTGTGAAGCTTTTTCTGTGTCCTCTGGGCAAAGGAGTCAGCTCTTTCTTTATCTTCCTATACCTCTGTGTTTATGCCCCTGTTTCACAAATAATAGTTACTGATATCTGTTCCTGTGTCTTGTCTCAGCCTGCAGTTTCCTAGCTGGTGACTTATTCATTCTCCATGCCCAAACTAGTTCCGGACACACGGTAAGTATGCGTATTTGTAGGCTGAGGGGGTATTTGTTTTAGGAGATCTCAGAGCCTAGCCAGGGGATTCTCAGCTCCAGCCACCAGTTCTCTCCTCCTGCTTTTAGGATTCATAGCTGACTTCTGTGTCTTCATTGTATTAGAAGTGTGGGGAGCTCTGTGTGATTACCATAAGCTCAGAGTTGACGGAGTGCAGGAGGGAAGTAGAGGGCAAAAATAAAGCCTGTGTGGATGAGGTTCAACAGTAATAATAATGATAGCAGCCAATATTTACTGAGTACATTCTATGCTAGATACCGGGCTAGGAGCTTTATATTCAATATCTCATTCATTTCCAGCACCAATTCTCTGAGATGGGTACTATTATCCTCATTTTTCACGTGAGGCTAAGTAAGGGAAGTGGCAGAACTGGAGTTAGATGAAGGCCTGACTTCTAAAGCCCATATTCTTAACCATTCCATCTGAGGGATCCGTGAGAAGCATTTGGAGGAGGGGAAACCACACAAGCCTTCTTCCTCCCTGGCACCTGTTCTTCCTCACTGAAGAGATGTGGTTCCCAGGTGTGTTCAACCCACCCTGGGCTCAGCTGGGCCACCTTGTAGTTTGAAGCAAGATAGCGCTGAGGGCTCCTGTAGTAACTGGCCCCCAAGAAAGCTGGGTGGAGAGGCCCCATTTCCCCAGCACTGGGGTGACAGGCGTAGCCCTGAGGAGAGAAATGACAAAAATTCCTTATTATCATCCCAGTTCCAACATGGTGACAGCCCCAGACTGCTGGGAAAGCCAACCCACACAGTGATGAGATGTAATCCAGAGGGCTCAGAAACATTTCCACAAATGCTAATATCAGCCCCTGTCAGCAGGAAGGGGGAATTGTGCGAGCACGCATGGGGCACACTGTTTGGCACAAGGGACTTGGTTGCTAAGCAACTGTATCTGGCCTCACCTCCTCCCTGCAACCTTTTCCTCTGTTTCTAAGCTTCTAGTTAGCAGATGGGAGGGGCTGGAGCTGCCCAGCCCAGCCCTTGGCCCCCTTTCCTGCAACAAGAGGTCTCTTCATGGTTTCTGAGCAGATTTATTGTCTCTCTGATTCATGTCTGTGTGGGGGGGGGCCGGGGTGAGAATAAAGGGATAAAGGGAGGGGCGTATGTGAACTAGGGAGACCTCACCCTCCAACCAAGCTGGCTGAGCTATTTAATCAATGCTGATCCAAGAACAGGAGCAGAACCCTGCCTAGAGACCCCGAGGGTTTACTTCGGTGCCGCTGAGCCGAATGGTAAGACTCTACATACATCTGTGCCATCCCTGACCTGGCCTCTCTCTCTTTCTCTCTCCCTGCCCCCACCCTTGGGCTTCTAGGCTAGATCCTAGAGGAGGCCCTGTGTGGCCAACCTCCTATTTTTTCCCCCAGGGACTGACTTCTATTCTCCTCTCCTGTTCCCTATAGGCCTATCCAAGTGCTTTGCAAATAGACAGTGTTTAGCAAATCACTATTACATTGAACTCCTACTCAAAAGGAGGACCAGGAGATCCTGAACCATTACAGACCATTGTTGCAGGCTATTGCATGGGCTCAAACACATGGATTTGGAGGTAGAGCAACTCCTGGGGTGAGGCCAGTTAGTGCAGAAGCTGAACTGAAAGCCGAGCTCCCTTGATACTGAGACAGGAGAAAAGCGTGGGTATGCCCTGGAATTCTCTCTAGACCAAGCACTGCCTCTTTGCTCAGAAGGACATCAGTTCAAGAGAAACCATGTTCCCAGAGAAGAAACCCAAACCCCAAATGCTGTTGCCACTTCTCTGCTTTTTTATGGGTGCTTGACTGACTCTTCCAAGCCTGTGGTTCTCCAGTCTCATTGCTTGTGCCCTTGAGCCTCATTTCTAGACCTAAGAAAGAGTGTATATGGTAAGGGGCAAGGCAAGACCCCATGTTTCTCCTACTGTTGGTGGGAGGACCAGCCCTATAGATCCTGGGCTGTAACTGGTGTAGGGGATGGGGAGTAGGGGTGGTGTCTTGCTTCATACGGAAGTTTGGGCTGCTGCCCTGCTTGTGAGCTGAACTGGCAAGGGTGTTCATGGGTCCAACAGAATGATTTCCAGGGTAATTTAGAAGTGACTGATCTGGGCGAGTCTTCAAAGGCTTTTTTTTCCTCCTAGCCTGAGGGTCAGGAGCACGAAGTTCAATGGAACACAAAGGCAGGACTGAGGAATGTGACAAGAACATTCCATGTGACACATGGAAATCCCATCTAAGTCAACATTGTCTTGGAGTCAGTGTTTCAGGTTTTTATGATCATTGGGCACAACTCTAGGTGTTGACAGGATAAGCTGTAATCTTCAGAGGAGACGACTCATACTAACTTTTATTTTTCAGAGAGAGAGAGAGAGTGCATGTACACTTGCGGGTGAGGAGGTGGCAGGGAGGGGCTGAGGGAGAGGGAGAGAGAGAATTTTTTTTTTTAAGATTTTATTTATTTATTTGACAGAGAGAGAGAGAGCACAAACAGGGGGAGTGTCAGAGGGAGAGGGAGAAGCAGATTCCCCGCTGAGCAGGGAAGCCCGATGTGGGACTCCATCCCAGGACCCTGAGATTATGACCTGAGCTGAAGGCAGACGCTTAACCAACTGAGCCACCCAGGTGCCTGAAAGAAAGAATCTTAAGCAGACTCCATGCTCATTGTGAGCCCAATGCAGGGCTCGATCTCAGAACCCTGAGATCATGACCTGAGATGAAATCAAGAGTCGTATGCTTAACTGACTGAGCCACCCAGGCCCCCCTGGAGTCATTTTAAGTTTTAAGGGGTCTTGTCTGTTTTACTGGATCCTAAGTTCCTTGAAGAAAGGATCCACTGCTTTTACATATTTCTTATTATTATTATACTTAGCATTTGCATTGAACTTTATAATTTATAAAACCCTTTTGATCATATAATCTTTTGTGGTCTCCCCGCCTGCCTTCCTCCTTAACGTACATTAACTGAATTCCCACTTCATGGCAGGCTCTGAGCTAGGCTCTGGGACCCTAGACCAGTGAGGAAGGGCAGAGAGAAAGAGAAGTAAATGAGCACAATATAGGGTCACAACAGGTGCCTTATAGATTGAAGACAGCTTCTTGGAGAAGTGACATCTAAGCTGTGTCTTAGGAGTCAGCTACATGGGGGAAAGGACAGCAGATGCAAAGTTTCTGTGGAACGAGAGCACGTTAAGGCCCAGAGGACTGGCATGTGTGTTACTATGACCGAGTTCCACTGTGGAGGGAATCATGCTGGCAGGTGTGGATGGAGAGGTGAGGAAGGGTGAGGGCACAGAGGATTTTGTGGGCCGTGCCATAGGACTTTGGATTTTTCTTAAAGAGTAGGAAGTTTCATTGGGTACTTTAAAAATGGGGTGAGCCTTCTCATGTTTGAATTGTAGGAGGATTGCTCTGGCTTGGACATTGAGTGGAGATAAGATACTAGAGGAGGGAGCTGACTTGTTGGGTAGTAGTGGTTATCACTCTTATTTTCCAAATGAGAAAATTGAAGTTTGGAGAGGTGTTGAGTTAAGTTCACATAGTAGGCTGCAGACCTAGCTTTGAACTGCTGGTCCGGTATTTCTTCCAAGATCTTATTTTCCATTACTCTTCTTCATGGCTCATGAGCATCAGGCAACATATAGCGTCCTCTGCTCTATGCTTTCCCACCCCCATGCCTTTGCCTCTTCAACTGCCTGGAATACCCAATGCCCATATATGTCCGTTCAAGCGCTATTCATCTATGAGGGACTGTCTCAGGCTGTCTTTTCTAGGAAGCCTGTTTTGATCTCCCAGTGAGAAGTAACCTCTCCTTCTTTCTTCTGTCACTTAACATGTTCTGTCCTTTTTTTTTTTTTTTTTTTTTAACATATCAGGACCCGACTGCAAATTCTCTGGGGCAGTTAGGGAGTGTTCCATGTTGATTTATTTTGAACTCCCTATAGTGTCCCCCACTGTGGCCCAGCCACTTGGGCTAAATCTTATTTACTGGATAAATGAATGGATGGTGCATTGGGCAGGGGGACTTCCTCTAAGACAGGAGAGAATGAAGAAGGCTGGGATCTAGAGGCCTGCGGAGGGATGTTGAGAGATTCAGCAGATGCCCTTGATGGTTGTGGGAGGCCAGGGAAGGGAGTGGTGAGGAGTGTGGGCTTCTGAGTTGGCCCAGTCTGGGTTTGAATACCCACTCTGGTGCTTACTGGCTGTGTGAGAATAAGGTGGGTGGGGTTAGGGGTTCCAGGAGAGCAGGGAGGGCCTGGAGGGGCATCAGTAGGAACACACAGAGTCTCCAAGATGAAAAAAAAAAAAAAGGCAGTGAATGCACAGCTGAGGTTAGAGAGTGGGGCCTTGTAGTGGGCTGATCTTCTCCCTTTGGTGTGGGGATCCTGAGTGACCGACAGTTATTTCCCCAGAGCCTGATGCCGGATGGCCAACCCCACATGGAGGCTCAGGATGCAGAGGAGGGCCCAGGACCTGGGATCTTCAAAGCAAAGCTGAGAGACCCACTGCGGAGGCCCGAGGCCCAGCAGCCACCCAGTAGGCCAGACTGGGCTATAGGGGAATGACAGGGTGGGGACAGCGACTGGGTAATCTTCCTACATCCCCCAGATCCTTCTTGAGAGAGCCCCCAGTGGCTGATGGCGAGAGGCTGCCTCACTGTTTATCCCAGACCTGCTTTTGCTCTGTTTCCAGTTTGGGGGTTGAGTGGGCTCTGGGGGCCTCAGTGGGGATGGGGTGGGGGGGGTGGCAGGTGCAGTGGGGCAGACTCCTGCCACAGCCCCGTGGCTGCCTGGCCCCATGGTGGGGCCTCGGGCAGAGTGAGGCTGGCAGGCAGGAGCAGGGCACACAGACTCCTCTGCCCTGTCCCGCAGGCTCTCGGGCAGGGCGCCAGTGCTCAGGGTGGTGCTGCTGTGCAGGGCTGGGAGCCCTGGTGCTGCTGGCTGGTGTGAGCGTTGGCTCCTGGCTTCTCGGTCAGTGCTGGGACCCTTCAGCGCTCCGGGGAGGGCCAAAGAACAGGGTCTGGGGCGTCCTTGCGGGAAGAGACAAGCAGATGTAAAAGGCAGCCGGGACCTGTCTTTCTCATCTACTCTGAACTGACAGCAGGGAGAAGGGAGGGACTTAGGCTCTGCGTGCAGAATGCTTTAGTCCTACCGTGGGAAGTGGAAGGTACTTGAGTGGATGGCCCAGGGAGGCCCAAGTCGAACTTTCTCTAGAAGTCTTTCCCAGTCAGAGGGAGAGAGACAGGGACAGGGAGAGAGAGTGTGTGCTGAGCCTCTCAGGCGGGTGGGGGCCCGCCTGAGGCTGGGTGGCCGAGGGGGAGTCCCCAGGCAGCTGCTTTTGTCTCCCTCTGTTGCAGGGGTCTTGTTCTGCCCCTTGGCCGTCTCATGTGGGAATCCCTCCCTTCTCCTAGCCTCTTGTCTGTGACCCTCTCCCTGTCCTTGTCCTCTGAAGTGCTGTATCTGTGGCCAGTGGCCTCTCAGCCCGCTGCCGGAACCTTGCAGGATGAGGAGATCCCTTTGAGCTGCTCTGAGGCCAGCGGTGAGGAAGCCCTACTCCCCATGCTTCCCAGAGCAGGTGGGCCACCCCCCCAAGCCTACGGGCTGCCCCCCCGGCCCTGAGCCCCCTCAAAGCTCTGGGACCCCCACTTCTGGCCAGGGACAAGAGGACCAGAATGAAGGGCCCTGACATCACTGCCAGCATCTGGGTCTCCTCCTCTGGCGGGAAGGGAGCGACGTGGTTCAGCCTTGAAAAGTCCATCTCAGATTTGGAGCTTTCAGCACTCCCTGGGGGACTGTCTTGATCCCTAGCTGGGGCAAGACCAGGAGCCCAGGCTGGAGGAGGGGTGGCAACTTGCCATTTGAGGCCGAGTGAGCCAGCAGGATGGGGAAGGGGGAACCGGTGCGTGTGGGGAGCTGGAGTGGAGCCAGCAGGGGTCCCCACCCACTCCACATTGCCCACCCCCCACCCCACCCCCTTCTCATTGTCCTCTCCCTGCCAAACATGAGTCAAGGATCAGGAGATTAGGTGCCCGGGCAGGGGCTGGAATCAGTCATAGAAGTTACAGTCAACGTGGAGCCTGCTTTTGCCAGCTGTGTGACCTTGGGCAACACTGCTTCTCAGAACTTCCGTTTCCTTCTCTACAAAATGGAGATGCAACTATTTATTACATAAAGTTGTAAGAATAGTATGAGCTAATGTATAAAAGAGCCTAGCACAGAGCCTGGAGAAAGCAGATGCTCAGTGGTAACCATCACTATTATTACCACAAGATACGACACTGGGAGACCTGGACTTAAGTCCTGGATCCATCATGTGCAGACTCTGTGATAGGGGGCAGGTCGCTTAACCTCCATGCCTTAGTTTTCCCTCTGCAGCATGGGAGGATGGTCATACTCACCCCACAGGGTTGCTGTGACAATGAGTGGCAGAGCACGTTTAAAAGCACTTGGTTAAACACCAAACTGGAATGCAGCACTATAAATAGGGGCTATTTTGTTCTCAGAACTGGCCTGATGCCCGGGGGGACAGGAAGCCTGACACTGTGTGACCCAGATGCTGTCTTGAGGCCTCTTCAAGTCCCTGCATGGCCAGGTCCAGCTCCCCCTGCCCAACCTGCCCCTCCACCCTACAGCAGGTAGGATGTGACTGCCATGCCGTGCCTTCAGTATCTTTCAGAATAAACACTGAGGACTTCTTGCTGGAAGTACAGGTGAGGGCACAGCCAGACTGGCTCCTGGTCTGCCACGAGGGCTGGAGCTCTGCCCTGGGGGTGCGGATCTGCCAGAGCCTTGGGCATCTCAGGTAACTGGGGCCAGGCTTGGGGCCCGGGGAAGGTGGAGAAAGGGGAGTCGGAGACCTCTATCTGCCTGTCCCCGTCAAAGTGCTCAGGAACTGGCAAGAGGTCATTTTGGCCATGTCCTAGCCTCTGGGCATGGTGGGGCCCCAGCTCATTTCTCTCCTTTGAGCATCCCTGCTTTTTAACAAATATGAATCCCAGAAAAGGTCATTATCAAAGTCTTGCTCCATGACCGTACTGCTGGGAGGATGGTATCTCATGCACATCTTGGTCATGATTATGTACCATTTCCCGTGCTGCAGTAAACCGGTTTCCTCCTGTTCTGTTCCCCTCTTCCACCAAGACTCACTCACCACAAGAGAGTGAACCTGTCTAACATCAAGCTCAACAGCTCCCGGGGGTTTGCTCAGCTCCCTCCCAGACTGGAAGGTCTCCTGGAGGAGGTGTGGCTGCCCAGGTAGGGCTTCTGAGGAGGTTGAGTGGGATCCCTTACTTCTGGTGAACAGTTTAGCAAAAATCTTCGGGTCATGGGAGCGTGGTGGTGAGGACATAGGCCATGTGAGATAGGACACAGAGGAACAGTTCCCAGTCAGAAATCACAAACTCAGTTCACGTGAGTGGGGACTGACTCTGCCAGGAGAGCCAGAGCCCTGTGGGTTTGGGACACGAGAGGGATCAAGGCATTGGGCTGCTGGGGCCAGAGATAAGTAGGAGAGAGAAGAGGACTTTGGTCCAGCAGGAACTGAGGTTTTGCTAGGAAGGAGGAGGGGGAGAGGAGAGCAAGGAAGGGGCTGGAGAGAGAGAACGGAGTAAGCCCTGGAGGGGCATGCGGTGAAGTGTGCTATTCTTCATTCATTCCTTTATCCATCTACTGAACACAGGTTCATTCAGGGGCCCTTAGCGGGCCCAGCTGGACTTCCCATCTACAAATACTGGATTTGGGCCCTGCGCAAGACAACCCTCAAGGGCCATGACCTCCTGCTGGTGCTCTGGGGTGATGGGACGGAGTAGCATTGCTGTTCTAGAGACCTGTTAATGAGGAGGGCCCTAGGGGCTTGGATGGAGGCAGGACACAGATGGGGGGCTGCACCGGAGGCCTCTTATCTCTCCACCTTGGGTGGGCCCCTGCCCTGCTTCTTGCTGCCATCTCTGTTTTGTAGGAACAGCTGTTCTTCCGGCCAGATCGTTTCCCTCAGATGCTCTGGTGAGTCATATCCAGGCATATCCGGAAAGGTGGCGGTGGGAAGAAGGAGCTCCCCGCTGTCCTGAGTGTGGTGAGCCCCACAGAGAGACTCAGCTTGGTCTGGGGTGGGGTTCCTTGCCCACCTGCCTCTCTGCCTGCTGGTCCCCTTCTGCCCCAGCAGAGCCCTGTCCAAGCCTCTGTCCTGTCCCCTACCAGCCCCTGATCCGGGCGGGTCATCTCCTTGCTTCACTTCCTGGCACCACCTGACATGAATTCCGAAGCTCCTGCCCCCTTTCATCTAGAGAGCCCCAGAGGGATTTCTGTTGGCTGCTAACCGGTTAGCACCTTCGGGAGACTAAGGAAGGGGACAAACTGGGGGCCACATGGGAGACAATCTGTGGAAATTCTATCATCTGACCCCCCACCCCCAATCATCTATGCATCTCTTCCTCTTTCCTCTTCCATGCATCCATCCACACACCAACATTTTGATCCCTCCTGTGGGACAGGCTTTTCGTGAGGTGTTGGGGCTCCACGGACACTGTAGGTGTGGTCGCAGCTCTCAGTGAGCTTGCAGCCTGATGGGGCAGCCACACCCCGATGTGTAATTGGCACTTCGACCATCCTATCCCCCAAGCTTAAGGCCAAGAGAAATAAATGAGAGCTATCCACACCGGGCCACACTCCCCGAGGTTAGGACCATGCTGGCTCCCACCTGTCTTCTGGCTCACCATCTCCCCTGTGCTTCTCTGTTTGCAGAGTGTGGGGCCGGGCCCCTGGCCTCCCGGATAGTCGGCGGGCAGGCCGTGGCTCCTGGGCGCTGGCCCTGGCAGGCCAGTGTGGCCCTGGGCTCCCGGCACACGTGCGGGGGCTCCGTGCTAGCCCCGCGCTGGGTGGTGACGGCCGCTCACTGTGTGCACAGGCAAGTCTCAGGGGCAGCTGGCGAGGAGAGCGCCTCAGTGGCCTTTTCTGTTTGGCCCTTGGTATGTCCCATATAACATGTCCACGTCGGGCTGTCTGCCTCCCCGCATCCATTCTGAGAGGCACGGACTGTGCAGTTCTCCCCGTCCCGCACCAAGAACAGCTCTGTACGAATAGCAGCAATAGCACAAAGACTGGTTCTTTTTTTTTTTTTTTTAAGATTTTATTTATTTATTTGACAGAGAGACACAGCGAGAGAGGGAACACAAGCAGGGGGAGTGGGAGAGGGAGAAGCGGGCCTCCTGCCGAGCAGGGAGCCCGATGTGGGGCTCGATCCCAGGACCCTGGGATCATGACCTGAGCCGAAGGCAGACGCTTAACGACTGAGCCCCCCAGGCGCCCCCCACAAAGATTGGTTCTTTGTATTTGCTCAGTTTTGAAGGTTTTCGAAGGCTTTCCCATGCACAGCACTCTGTGCTTCTTAATGTTTATCACAACTGTAATTAAATCACCTTCCGTGTAATCATTTGTTTAATGTCTTTCTTCCCCTTTAGACTGGAAGCTCCATGGGAACAGAGACTGTCAGTCTTGTTTACCACTGAGTCTCTTTGTTGATTTTCCCACTGCCATGTCCCCCTGGCCTAGAACAGTCCTGGCAGATAATAGGTGCTTCATAAATACTGCTTGGAGCAGTATAGGAATGAATGATGAGTGAACGAGCTCTTTGGACCTCTCCCTTTGGTGGCGGGCAGGGCAGATAGCGTACTGCTCGGAGACTGAGGCTGGGAGAGGCGAGGTGACTTCCCCAGGATCACAGGTAGCAGGTGGAGAGACAGGACTCAGACGTTTTTCTGACTTGCAGTTAGGATATCACACAAGCCCCTTTGATGTTTGTTATAAAACATGGAGGAGCATTATTCAGGACAGAGGGGAAGGGGGTTGCAGATCACCCACAGTGTCTTCCTTCTCTGGCTGGTGTAGAGCATTTATTAAGCACCTACTGCATGCCTAGTATCTTGGCAGCTGCTGCAGGGATACTAGGAGGCACGGTCCTGGGTTCTGGGAGCTCCCAGCCTGGTGATGGGGGCATCCATTAATGGCTTCTCTGGCCAGCTTCCCCCACCTGCCACCTCACTTAGGTCAGCCTCTTCTGCCCCGTCCTTCCCTGGGCTCAACATGGCTCCTATGTGCAGTTTTAGGCTATCCCGCCTGTCCAGCTGGCGGGTCCATGTGGGGCTGGTCAGGCACAGTGCCGTCAGGCCCCACCAGGGGGCTATGGTGGAGAGGATCATCCCTCACCCTCTCTACAGCCCCCAGAATCACGACTATGACATCGCCCTCCTGCGGCTTCGGACGCCGCTCAACTTCTCAGGTGAGGCGCTGGCCAGGGGTGAGCAAGCTGCGCGCTGTAGTGAGCGAGGCAGGCCCTGGGGGGCGGATGGGGGCTGAGGGGAGAGCTCATTTCTGAGGTTCCCTCCCAGGGCCGTAAACCTTAACACATTCAGTTCATTTGGTGACCACAGTGAACTTTGGCATCGCCTGGACCTAAGCTTGCACCAACTCTTGCAGAGGCTCTTTTGGGGACAAAGTTTCTGGCCCTTTGCATAGCTGGGCTGCAAGTGGGACTTGCCTCAATGTCCCCAGCAGAGCTTCCTTGTTGCTCCATCTACCCACGGGCTGCTCCGCCCCTCACCCCAGGCTGGCCCCAGGGCCCAGCCACCATGTGACATGTTACAGTTAATAAGCTTTATTTTCCCAAATGCCTTTCCTTCGGTCCTTGTAAGAGCCCTGACAGGTAGATGAGGCAGGTATAAAGAGGGAAGGACAATGACGTTTAGTGAGGAAAGTGACTCTCTGCAAGATCACACAGCAAACCATTCCAGAGCCTGGTGTCCTGACTCCGGGGTCCGGCTTCTGCACAGCAGCTGCTCTTGAAAGCAAACCCCCACCCCAGCATGCACGTGTGCCTGCATGCTCACCGACAAACACACACACACGCTCACACACGCTCTGTGCTCCTCCCTCCCGTCACCTGTAGCCTTGGGTTTCCCAAATCACAGTTGTCGCTCCATGCCCTTCACAAATTTTACCACGTATGTGTACCCTCTGAACTGTGGCTCAGCAGTTAGTATTTCTAGAGTGACTTAAGTACATTTGAAAGGGGAACTTTGAGTTATGACCTAACTGGAGAACCCATATTACTTGTAGCGAATAGGTAACAACTGTAAAAATACCGAGCGAAAACAAGACAGCGTTCAAGTTCCAGCTAGCTGCCCTCTGCAGATCTGCTGTGCCCAGGCCTGCTGTTTGTGTTTAGGTGGAGGTTGGCAGGCACTGGATGGAATTTTTGTCCTGGATGCACTTGGAGGGACGGAAAGAGCCCTAAGAAGGGAGTTCTCTTTCCCCATGTACATCAGTGCTTATTTAATGGCATGTCTATGTGCTATTGTAGAACAAGTTTGGGGCCCGACCCCGTAGGACTTGCCACACACTTTTGGAAACAAGGCCCCAAGAGGGATCAAACACCCTAAGGAAAATCCAAAATGGGTCCTCATTAGGAGAAGTTGGGCACAAAGGCCCAGAAGAAATTCCCATTCTCCCTCAGTGCCCAGGCCAGGGGGTGTGCAGCATGTCCGTTGCCCAACCTAGAAGGCACCACGCACACGGCAGTGTATACGTTGTCCTCCGTGTCAGCGGGGACCTCCCTGCCGATGTGGTATAGTGCGCGGCCTGCACAGCCTTACGGGAGGCCTGGCTGGTGGAGGCGGGGAGCCAGGACTGCTAGAGAGGGAGTGAGGAGGACCTTCCAGTCCTGGTTCTTCCCCCAGGCTGAGGGTGAGGTGGTGGGGAAGGGAAGCTGAGCCCGAGTGGGGCCCAGGACCACCCGCTTCTCCACAGATAACGTGGGTGCTGTGTGCCTGCCAGCCGAGAAGCAAGATTTTCCAAGGGGCTCGCGGTGCTGGGTGTCTGGCTGGGGCCACACAGACCCCAGACACAGTGAGTCAGCTCCCAGGGCCCTGGGGAAAAGAGGGGTGGGGGGCTGGGGGGACACTGTCCCCAAGATGAGGCCCCTCTCTCTCCCACCTCCACCTCCCTCAGCCAAATGGCGGTGCCAGCCCCCTTTTACTCTGGTATCACTGTTGGCCAGACCTAGGAGCCCTGGTCTCCCTGGCCTGGGTCTTTCTGGGAGAATGTTCCCTGAGTTTCCACTGAAGCCACTCCATCCCAGGAGTGCTGTGGCCTTGGCATTGGGGGGGCATATCGCTCTTGTCTGACGGACCCGTGCCTCCTTCCCAGGGTCCGCAGCTCCCACCTTGGGCTCCCCTCTTTGGGTCTCATGTCTCCAGGGCCTCTAACCACCTTCCCTCTTGCTGCTGTGTCTTCCTGGCCTTGCTTTGTGCCCCGCGGCCTGGCTCTGTGTCCCTCCATCTCCACGTGTACCTCCTGCAGCCCACAAGTCAGATTCGCTCCAGGACACGGTGGTGCCCCTGCTCAGCACCCAGCTCTGCAACAGCTCCTGCATGTATAGTGGGGCACTCACCCCCCGCATGCTGTGTGCTGGCTACATGGACGGGAGGGCTGATGCGTGCCAGGTACAGCATGGAGGGGGACTGTAGTGGAGGGCGGGAACGGAGGGACCTGTGGTGGCTTGGCCCCTGCTCTGAGCAGCCACTCTAGGAGGAGGGGTGCCTAGGCAAGTCGAGTAGCGTGCTAAGGATTTAGGGAGGAGTGGGGCAAGCGGAGATCCCATGCTGGAAGCAGCAGGGGCAGGGAACAGAGGCTCAGCTCCCTCCACCAGGAAGGGCTAACGGCCTCTTTCTCGGTGTCTCTGTGCCCTCAGGGTGATAGCGGGGGCCCCCTGGTGTGCCTGGACGTGGGCACCTGGCACTTGGTCGGGGTGGTCAGCTGGGGCCGTGGCTGTGCAGAGCCCAATCACCCGGGCGTCTACGCCAAGGTTGCTGAGTTCCTGGACTGGATCCATGACACTGCAAGGGTGAGTGGGGGCAGGGGTGGGGCGGTCGGGTTTGTAAAGGACCCAACCCTTGGAAACTGTGACCCTCACCTCTTAGGCCTGGACCCTGCTTGGGGCTGGAGAATGGGGAGGAGGAAGTGATGCTTGTAACACTGAATCCATTGGATTTCTCTGGATTTAAGTGTTAACTAGGTAGGAGTAGACCTGGATGTGTAGCCCAGATCCGCCATTTACTCTGTGAGCTTTGGCAAATTCCTAACCTTGGCAAGCTTCAGTTTCCTGGTAATAGCACCACGGCTACCTGTGGGGAGTGATCCTGTGATGAGTGAATGATGTAAGACTACGAGGAGCAGCGAGCTGCCCAGTGCTAGCTAGGCTTGCAGAGAGTGCTCTGTGTGTTATTCATATGCGTGTTTGCTCCTGGTTTCTAAGGCAGTTAAGAGTGCCTGCATTCCCTGCACTATGGAGAGAGCTTGGCATTTAGCAGTTTGCGTTCAGCAAGGGATTAATTCTTGTGCGACACTGGGCAAGGCCCTCAACTTCATCCGTTCACTGGGAGGGCCGAGTAAGAGAATGTGTATGGAAACAGGTTATGTGTATAAAGAACTTTACAAATGCAGGGCGTGATAAAGAAAAGCATCTTTCTGCAGGGTTGGACACAGACACAGGTGGTAGGTAATAAATTTTAGAGTTTACAGGGGACATATGCACCCGCCTTCTCATTCAAGCCTTACAGAAAACCTCGAGAAGCAGATATTTTTAGCTGCATTTGATAGAAGTAGAAATCAAGGTTCCAAATGGTGAAGTGATTTACTAAAATGAACGTTACTGGATTGGTAGGTGGTTGGGCCACGCTGTGGGTCTGGCTCCTTCCTCTGTCAGCCCAGGACTCCCTCCCTGGTCCTGCCTACAGCCTTGTGCTTCCTGGGTCTCTGGCAGGTCCACTAGATGGAGAAGCGGCAGCCTCAGATGCAGAAGGCACGGACCTCCTACCACACAAGACAGTCACCACCCACGGGCCAGCCTCCAGGGAGGGCCTCTCCCCTCCCAGGGCCCTGATTTTGAGCCCCTCTTTCTCACCAGAAAGCCTCAGTAACAGGAGAGCAGGTGGGGCTGGGCTGGGAAGATGGGGGAGCTGGAGGGTATGGGGAAGGAGTGAGAGAGGAAGAGGTGGCTGGCAGCAGCTCGGTGCCTGCCCTTCTGCCCTCTCCTCCCCCCCACCCCCAGCCCCACCATCTTTTTATGCGCATCTTTTGGTAGGATGCTCAGGGATGCCCTGCGATCAACTCTCTCCAAGTGCTCTCAGGTAGGGCAGGTGCCTCTCTAGAGGAGCCCCTGGCTCAAGGCAGGGCCAAGTCCGTGGAGTCAAGGATCCTCCTGACTCTGCAGTCATTCTCACCTACTGCCTATTCCCGCCTGGCTCTGGCTGGCCCTGCTGGGGCGGGGGGGCCCTGTAAGAAGTGCTCTGGTTGGCGCTGGGATAGGGTGTTGGTTTAAAAATGACAATCAGTGAACTGGTCCAAGGAGCGCTGTTATTAAAGTGAAGTGATGTATGGTCTCGGTCTGCCGCTCATTCTCAGTCTCTCTTTCTGTCTCTCTGTCTCTGTCTCTCTCTCATACACACATATACACTCCCTCCCTCTCATACTCTCTCTCTGTCTCTCACATACACACACACACACACACACACACACGCGCTAAGGGATAGAATTAAAAATTTCCTTCTATACATATTTTTTAAAGCTCTGGAACAGACTCCTGCTCATCTCTCTAGAATTTTGGCATTCACTTATTTAATTCTTTACATCTCTTAAATCCACACAGCGCGATCTGCAGCACACAGCCGTTGCTGTTTGGGTGGGCTGTTTCCATAGACCTGAGTGCGGTTACGTTAGTGCTCTCTTAGGAGGTTCTGGCTTCCCAAGACCCGTGTCTCCTGAGCTCCTGTCTCAGCTCTGGGCCTTCCATCTTGGGGAGATTTCTTTCTGAGTTTATGCCCAGTTAGCATTTTCCTGGTTCAGCTTCTCCCCAACTCTCTCCTCTCTAGCAATTAAAATGCACTTGGCATCTTGTTTCTAAAAACTGCAATGAATTTTTTATGGAGCTTACCCAAGGAAATGCAATTAGCACAACACAACTTTTTCCCTGAGTTTATCAGCAATTTTTTTTTTTTTGAGGCGTTGTACAAATGAATATTCATTCCTGGAGGGCCTGCTCCCTTTCCATGAAGTGCACTAAAACATAAGGGCCTCAATTAACTGTCGCTCTATCACCTGGGAGGAGGTTGCTGGGAGCCTGCTCTCAAACCCCAGAAGCAGCATGGGAGAGGCTGGGGTGGGTGGCAAATAGCCTCACCCTGTGTTCGTAGACCTGCAGCCCCTTCCCTGAGCTCGAGCATTTACTCCCTGACTCTGGTAAGCCCCCATCCCCAGAGGGAGTTTCAGGACAGCTTATTCCCCTGGGCAGGGAAGAGTTACCAGCAAATCCATCAACTGTGATCTTCATGATGTTTCCCATGTAACCCAGGAGCATTGGCTTATTTAAAGGGAGGTTTTTATTTATCATAGTCATTAGAATCAGTTAATAATCAGTAACATTTAGATATTAGTTTATCGACACTGTTCATGTGTATCTCACTTAGATCTCATAATAGCTACGCAGTGAAGATATTATGATCACTGTGCCCATTTTACAGGCAAGAAAATCAGTCCAGAAAGATTAAGTATCTCCCCAAGACCCGCCACGAGTAAGTGCCAGGGAACCCTGGGGCTTTTTACTCATCCCCATTGGTGTTTTGCACGTGGATGACGAGATGGTCCAGTGTTGCACAGAAGTGTAGACTTGGAAGGTGCTTTATCACCTAGTTGAGTTGCCTGCCTACAAGAATGCATTGCCATCCCTGCTTTTTATAGGTGAGGTAAAGCAAAACCTGGGAAATTAAATGGCTCCTGCCAGAGACCCTTCTTAGACAATATTCTTACAGATTGCCAGTTCTCCGTGAGATTCACAAATGAGTATCTTCCACAGGACGACGATAGAGAACCCTAATTAGAGAATTTGCTAATAGTGGTTCCCTGTTTACCTACACAAGCTCCTAGTATCTTTTGCCAGTCGAATCTGCAGACTCAGAGGCTCCCACCCGCCCTTCCTTTGTTAGCACCTGCCAGTCCAGCTCTTAGGAAAGTGAGGAGGTGTGCTGGGGTGGGGGCCAGCTGCCGGAGTGCAGGGGTAGAGCTGGGGGCAAGGAAAGGTGGGAAGATTCAGGTCCAGAAGGATTTTAATGGGGACCAGCTGGGTGCCCAGCTGCATTGAGCTCTGTAGGGAATGCAGAGGTAGAGAAGCCTGACTGCCTTATTGGAGCGATGAGGCTTATTTGCATAAATTACAGTAGCCAGCCAGGCACAGGGCTACATGGCGAGGCAGCGATTGCTAAGGGAGCTCCGAGGGGCTATCGTGGAATAAGTCAGGGCATTTCTGTGCAGGAAACCTGTCTCTCCTGTCCAAGGATTCCGTGTCCCACCTGCCTGGGCAGAGCTGGCGAGCCCCCTGGGACTTCCCAAGCAGGTCGCTCCTGGCTGCCATGCCCAGGGTTTCCTCCTTCTCTCTTCTACTCCTTCTCTGTGCTTTTGGGGTCTGGAGGGTACAGTGGGGGTGCAGGCTTTCTCTCCTTGTTAGACTTTTTACTTTTGGAAGTGCTGGGCTCACCCGTAATAGGACAAACCTGGAAATGCTATCAGTGCTAAAAGCTGGTACAGGAGCTGCTGGGAGATGATTTTCCCCAGTCTCTCCATTGTTTTCTGTGCTCTGCCCTCTCCTGGCCATGCACTGAGGACCCTCCTGGCTACTCAAGAGAGAGCCCAGCTACACCTGCTGCCACTATTCAGCCTCTCCCGGCATCCCTCGCCGGGAAACCCCTCCCCCGCCCCCCACCTCACTACTCAGACACATCAGAATGCACTTTGGGTATGCCTCCCCCTCGGAACTCTGCTTCCTGCTAACCTATTGGAGCCCAGCGTTGTTAATGGCTGCTTAAACTGTCTTAAATACCAGCACCTCTAGAAGGTTCCTAGTAGCAGATGGGGAGTAGCGTCCTGCTCCTGAGGGCAAGGCTGATCTTTTTTACATATTCCAAGACCTGGAAAGTGAGATGTGGAGCAGCCAGGCACCCTCTGTAGACTTATAGCACTCCAGGGGCCCCAGGGACAGAGCAGTCCCAGGGAATCTACTGGAAGGTTTCCGTCTGGACTTGGTGCTGGAGCAGACCAAGCTGGAGACTCAGACAGAATGGAGAGAGCAATTCTGGCTCCAGAAGACGCCGATCTTCCACTCGTGTGCCTCTCTCAGAGCAGCGTGTGAGCTCTAGGAAAGCAGGGGCTTTCACGGGGACTGGGCTTAACTCCTGAGCCTCCTCCCTTCCAAGGAATCTTTGGCTTTGGCATCTGATGGGGTAGAGTCCCAATCTGGGCCTCCAACCACTTAAGAGAGTGCTGCCCTGAGCGAGTGACTCAGCCTCACTTGAACTTGGTCTTCCACCTGTCAAACAGGGAGTCTAGGCCAGGTAGTCTCCACGGGATCTGCCCTGTCAGCTTTAACTCAAACCTCTGTTACCTCCAGAGATATCTGCCCCACTGTGGAGAGCACCATAGCGTGGTGCTGGGCCAGATGTAAAGGACCAAGCATGTTCTGGCTCCTCAGGCCCACACCAGGATAGCACTCAGGGCTGCTCTCCCTTGAGGCTTGCCCTCTGGGTCCTGGCGGGGGTGGGGACCACTCCAGGCACACAATTTTATTTTATTTTTTTTTAAAGATTTTATTTATTTATTTGACAGAGAGAGACACAGTGAGAGAGGGAACACAAGCAGGGGGAGTGGGAGGGGGAGAAGCAGGCCTCCCGCCGAGCAGGGAGCCCGACGCGGGACTCGATCCCAGGACCCTGGGATCATGACCTGAGCCGAAGGCAGATGCTCAACCATCTGAGCCACCCAGGTGCCCCAGGCACACAATTTTAAAGCCACTTTTCCCCATGTCTGTCTGTCTGGCATTTGTATCGGGGTGAAGGTTTCCGGGACAGGTAGAGCCCCATGACCTGGCACTGTTTCAAGTGCTCCCCAGCTCCTTCCTGACATTCGAGGCTCCGTGTAGGACCTCATGGGCCCCAGCTCCTAAAGACGGTGAGGGAATTTCCTCCCTCCCACAAAGACCATGGACACTTTCCTTCTGCCCCCTTCCTCTTGACAGCTCCTAAGCTGGCCTCAGGACCCCCTCTGCTCCCCAGCCTCTCCCTGTGCATGAGGAGGAGGGGTGAGGAAAGGGTTTGGTTAGCAGAACCATTAACAGGCAGCTTTGGTCCAAACTGTCCTCTGTTCCTGGCCATGTTACCAGGCTCACAGAGGGAGAATCCTTTCCCACGGCCCCTCAGGGTGACCCTACCTTCCCAGTTTGCCTAGGATGGTCCTGGTTTTAACACCGAAAGCCCTATGTCCCCAGAAACCACTGTCTGAGCAAACCAGGACAGTGGGTCACGCTAAGTCCACTGTATAAAAGGCATTCTGTAAAACCTAGTGCCCCTCGGCCTCCTCCAGTCCTCCTTCAGTCTGACTGGGCTTAAAAGAAACCTGCCCTGGTGACCCAGAGTTGGAGGAAGAGAAGGTTCCTGGGAGTTCTCGAGGTCTGGACGGTTTTGCAGATGCTGCCTTGGTCCTGCTGGCCCAGCTCCCTTCCTGTGGCGGTTCCTCAGATGGCAGCCCGGGCAGCGGTACTTCACCTCGCTAGCCTGGCGCTCCCAGGCCCAGAATTTGGGGGAGGCTAGGAAGGTGAGGTAGATACAGTGCTGCTTCTGGAAGCCATGAATATTGATTTCCCCGTTTCCCCAGGTCTCACTGATTTCTGCTCCCCAGAGCTGGTACAGGGCTCAGCACGTGGTGCTCACTGAGCCCACTCGGGAGGAGGAGAAGGGGGTGCTGTCCCCCTGGCAGGTGGGTGGGCCTCTTCTCCAGCCTCTGCCATCCGGAGGGGATCGGAGAAGAGCAAAGAAGAGACCTCCAGGCTGCTGGAGCCCGCAGGGATTCTGTGGGGTTTGTTTTTCCTCAGCACTGTCTGCAGAGGTGAGGGCATGAATAAAAGAGTGAGGGAAGATTTACTGTTCCCACCATTGGCAGTGGCCCTGTGTTTGCACAGCGGATCTGAGCGAGGAGGGGCTGGAGCAGGTGGGGGCGATGCTGGGACTCAGGGAGAAAGACTTTTGGCAGTCTTTCTGCAAGGACCCTGGGTGGAGCTGCAGGCCAGGCTGTGAGGGGCTATCTAGGCCAACTCTCCAACCACCAGGGGACAGAGTGTCCCCTCCCTGCCCCCACATTCTTGCCTGCGTGAACCCGGAGCAAGCAGCTTGGGTCCAAGAATCTCTACACCCTGGGGCACATGGTGGACCTAAAGGGTGTGCTGACAATGAGGACCCCTCATGGCCCTGGTAATGAGCACAATCAAGAAATGACTTCTATCATGGCCTAGCCCGGTCTGGGGCTTGGTGGGCCTGGGGCTGGGGCTGGGACTTGGAACTTTTCAGCTGAGAGCAGCCTTGGGCAGGGTCCCATGTCACCCCCACATGCATGTTCAAGGCAATACAACCCATATCTTGGCGACACTGTACTGTTTCTGGGACCAACAAAAGATGGACAATTTTTTATATAGTCAGTCCTAATGGGGTCAAAACTGGTGGTGGGAGTTAGCAGAAGAGAGCAAAGTCTGGGGGGCTGGGGTGGCCCCTGGGAAGTGATATGATCCATATTGTGTGTCCCCTTGTGCCTGTGTGTGTCTGTGTGTATCTGTGTATGTCTGCATGGGTTTATATGTTTGTGTGTATCTGGGTGGTCTGTGTGTGTATTTGTGTGTATACTTGTATGTGAGGCTCTACAGAAGTTCTCCCCTAACCCTGAAGACGTGGATCTAATTCTGGCCAGTTTCCATGTACAGGGCCCCCACCTTTAGCTTCTCGCTCCCCACTACACACACACACACACACACATAGTCGCACACCACCTCAACACTTTACCCTGGCAGGCATGATCATAAATTACTAGGAAGTAATCATTCATGGTCCTGGTAATGAGCACAATGACCATCACAATGGTCATATACAAGAAACAAAGACCTGTAGTTGCCTGTTCGTATGTGTGTGTGTGGGGGGGTGGTCATTTACCTACAGGGGCTTCTGAATCTTAAGTCAGCCTCTCAAGACTGCTTCTGCCTGGTCCACTTTTAACATTTGTGGGGCTTAGGGCAGGAGTGTGGGTGGAAGGCCATATACCACCTGTCTAAAGAGTTAAAAGTAAGACCTCAAACTAGCAAATAATTAAATTAAAAATGTCTTACCATGACCAAATAAACCTTCTTAAAGATGTGGAAGACCAGATTCAAATCCTTGGATTCTTTCCTGGAGCATGGTGGGCTGGGGAGAGCCAGCATGTGGCCACCTTTCCTTCCTACTTCCTGATCCAGCCCCTCCTGCACAGAGCCTTGTGGACAGCCATGTGGGCATTCCTCCTGCCTAGGGCTGTGCCCACCAAGGGAGTCTGCCCTCAGGGAAAGAGGCCTGTGCAGCCTCAGAGCCACTTGAATTCTAGGGTCTAGAAGGGGGCACATGGGCTCTGAGTGGGCACATTACCTCAGCCCTGTGAGCTACTCCCTTGAGGGAGGGAGTGGTCAAAAAGGGCCACAACAGCAGGGTCAGGCCTAGGGTGAGGCAAGTGAGGCAAGGCTCTCAGGATCACACAAGGATGGGGGGCTCCTGCCTCATCCGGTGCTGGCCCTACAGGACAGGGTCTTACAAAGTGAGCAGCCCAGAGCAGGGCCGGCTTCTTTCTGGTCTCCGTGGCAGCTGAAATTTATTTCATCCCCCCAAGTGAGACCGAGGTGAGATGGCAGAAGTAGACCCCCCTCTCCCGTGTGCCCCCACTCCTCTAAAGTACGATAAAGCACTCCTGGCCACCTTCCAGGGACCTCCACATCAGCCCAGCTCCTCTGGCAGTCCCTGCACTCATGCTTAGTGGAGAAGTGGAACAATTCATTAGGAGTCCCACTCATGTGGCCGCTCAGAAATGAACTGAGATAAGCACAGGGAAAAACTCTAGTGTACAAATGGATTGTATTCCAGAACTCTCTAACAGAACAGAATTCATTAAAATGAAGGTGAGTCAAAGCTAATTAGAAAAATGGATGTGTAGGGTCAGGAAAGGTCTGTGGGGGAGGAGCCAGGATACAATCCGTATGCATTTAGGAGAGATCTGGATTAAGCTGGTATGGACAGATTGTCTTCTTGGATGCATGTGTTGAAGTCCTAACCCCCAGTGCGACTGTATTTGGAGACAGGGCCTTTGGGAGGTAAATTAAGGTTAAATGAGGTCTTCGCTGGTGTCCTTATAAGAAAAGGAAGAGACACCAGCGTTCTCTCTTCCCTCACAAGCACAGAGAAGAGGCCATATGAGGATGCAGTGAGAAGGTGGTCATCTGCAAGCCAGGAGGAGTGTTCTCACCAGAAACTGACCTTGATGGCACCTTGGTCTTGGACTTCAGGCTTCAGAACTGTGAGAAATAGATTTCTGTTTTTTAAGCCACGCGGTCTGTGGTATTCTGTTACGGCAGCCCTCGCCGCTTAATATCAAACTAAATCACCGTAGAAGACACTCATAAAATAGGAGAATAAATACAAGAGCAAGCTCAGGGTCTCGTAGCCCAATGTGGAGCCTGTGGCTTGGGTATCTGTTGCACCATGTGTGGGAGGCATTTAGGGGAGGCCAGGTCGGCGGGGAGAGAAGAGCGCTGGTCCCAGGAGCCCGGAGTCTGGGTTCTGATCTGGTCTTTGTCGTTTGTTATTGAGCCCAGCTGTCTCTGGACTTTGCTGAGTTCCTGTTTTCTCCTCTATGTAATGGGACTAATAATATATTTCCTGTATAACCCATGGAGTAGATGGGAAGACCAAGATCTGGTTGCGGATGAGCACGAAAAACTGGTTATATTTTTTATTTGCTGAAAGAGCACAAATATGAACTATTTTGAAAGAGTTTGCTACAATTAATTTACAACCACTTATGGATAGATGCATGTTGCCAGAAAGAACTGATGTGGTAAATGTAGAAATTTCCCACCTACTATCAGCATGTAAGGTTTTAAGAAAGCCAGTGGAGGCAAATGATGTTTCCGATCATAACCTCAGAAATGTGGTTTCCATACCAACATATTTGTGCAGACTAGAAAGCCCAAAACAAAATGCTGCCTCTGATTCACGAGAAGGCAAGCCTTGGTTGAATCATGTTTTTAGTAGAAAAGACTAAGCCCCGCAGCCCCCACAGTGCCCTGCCAAATTGTCTGTCTTTATTATCTTGAAAGAGCACGTAATGAGAATAGTCCGGAAAATAGCTTAATCTGGAAGGTCTTGCACACTTCTAGGAGGTGGGCAGCGTGGCACGAGAGGCCGTGTTTAGTTTTGTGTCTGCCTTGTCGGGATGGTCACCACGAAGGATCCAGTCCTCCCTGATCTGTCCTGCTGACCTCTGCCCACCCCCTCCTCCCTCCCTGTGTCCTCCGTTCTCCCGTCTCCCCATCCGCCTTTCCTTCATTTTTGTTACCTGCCTGTTGTATCTCACTATTTCAGCAGAAACTCCTAGTCAGACAGGGAGCTCAGAGATGTACACCAACCATTTCAGTACAGGGCCAGGTGTAAGATGCTACGGGAGCATTGAATAAGGCATGAGCCTGGGTAAAGAGACTCTGCTAGAGTTGGGCCTTGACTGATGAATGTGGGAACTGAACTGGGCTGGGGGTGGGGATACGGCTAGGAGGGGAAGAGAGAACAAGAGCCTTTGGGATCAAGGGAACAGCAATACAGAAATACCTGGTATTTCTTGGGAAACAGCAAGTGGTTCTGTGTTAGTTGTTCTTTGATTGCAGACCCAAAACAGGGTCTGATACCAGTGAATATGTGGCAGTCGAGCCAAGGAGTCCTCAGTTTGTCTCATGGGAAGTGGGGAGGGAGCCTCTGAGACTGCTGAAGCAGGAGAGAGTCACAGTCATATATAATGAGGGTATATGTGTAAAATGGAGAGATTGTTCTGGAAGAGACATGCAGGTGGGCTTTGAGGGGCACTGACCATTAGTGTAAGGTTTCAAACTGCTTTAAAGAGAAAAAATCTTCATTTGGATCTCTTAAATATGTGACACAAAGCAGTGTTTTATTAGCATGCATTTATTTTATAATTCCAAATTGGCAATACCTACTTAGTATGCAATCAATCAGTGTGAGCAGTGATGTCATTTTGATGAGTATAAGAAGTTGAAGTTAGGGGCTATGCATCAATTACAGAGTTATATTAGTGAATATAACAGATCTAGTTTATTTCCGGATTTTGGTTTTGGCTGCATAGCACCAAGGAATCCTGACTTATTCGGTGAGGTTGTTGGTAATAGCAATGGGTTTTGCACAGCTTGACTTTCAGTCTCAGGACACGCTTTAATTAAAAGAGGAAAACTGCATTCAGAGGCCTGTATAAAAATGAATTGATTTTGTAAGCTAGGTTAAAGGGCTGGTGGTCCCCAAGTACCAAAATTGGGTATATAATGCATTTTAATTATGGTTTAGATGGCTAACATATGTTTTAAATGAGACTTAAATAAATTATTTGAGAAACCCCAAGCCACATATGGAAACTGAAGACACACGAGATTATTCCTCCTCTGAGTGAAGGGTATTATGTGTCTTATTTGTGTTGGTCATTTACCGGGTGACAGCAGCTGGTCCTCCCATGGCCAAAGTTGAACAATTAGGGTTACATTAATACACATTTCTTCAGTTGACAGGCACTTCTCTCAAAACTGGCAGAGCGGGAAGGTGGGGTGGGTATATTGGGTTCGTCTTTCCTTTGGACAGCACGTGACATCTGTGTAATCTTGGTACTTGTCTGATCTGTGATTTGTGGGCATTGGGAGAACCCAAGTGAAATGTCAGTTTATCAAAAGACCTCATGTCCGTTTGGAAACTTCTACCCGTGTATACTCTTCACCTTTGCAACAATCTGATGAGATGATCACGATCATTATCCCCATTGAGGCACAAAGAAGTGAAGTGGCTTGTCCAAGGTCAGAGAGCTAGTAGGTGGCAGAGCTGCGCTTTGATTCCATAGTCTGTCCCTAGAGCCTGCATACCAGTCACTGTGCTGTTTTGTCCTCTTCAAGGTGAGAGTTTGCATTAGGCCCCTGAGCTCAAATATCTTTTTTTTTTTAAGATTTTATTTATTTATTTGAGAGAGAGAGAGAGAGAGCACATGAGAGGGGGGAGGGTCAGAGGGAGAAGCAGACTCCCCCCAAGTAGGGAGCCTGATGCAGGACTTGATCCCGGGACTCCAGGACCATGACCTGAGCCAAAGGCAGCCGCTTAACCGACTGAGCTACCCAGGCGCCCTCAAATACCTTTTAATTGGAATGAACATTGCATTTGTCCGACGCTTAACTGACTGAGCCACCCAGGCATCCCGAACAAAGTTTCTTCTCTCGATGTTCAGGATGGGCTTTTAGCAGAAATTGTGCAATATGCAGTATAGGTGGGGAAAGGGACTTACCATATGTGTGAACTTTGTTGAAATGTATTCTTTGGAGATGGGCTTGGGCCCTATCATGAAGCATCAGGTATCATGGAGTCAGGAAACTGTCCTAGGGGGTCTGTGAGCCAGGCAGCCTCTGTCTCCCTGTTAATTGCAGGATCCAAGATACCAAGTTACTGGGTGGGACAGACCCAGTAGAGAGAGGGTGGTGGGATGCTGAGAATTTGGGTGAGGGGTGGTCCTGGCTCCCAGGTCCTCCTCAGGTCCACCCTTTTCTGGCATTGGTCCTTCCAAGTAAAGAGAAGCAGCCCATTAAGCCTCTGCCGAAGGTAAGAGGTTGAGAAGCTTAAGAGGAGATTGTAATGAAAGTGAGCTGGCAAAGCGGCTAAATTGATAGGAAACAGCAGGGTGGGGGCAGCCATTGCAAAACCAGTCTATTAAGACAAGGTCCTGAGAGGCCAGGCTGGATTTCCTAGAGAACAAATGCCAAGCTGAGCAGATTGAATAACTGAAGACACGTCAGTCAGGGCTGCATGTATCGGCGGGAGCAGAACACACCAGAAGCAGGTCATGCATGGTCAGGGTGGCAGGTGACCTGTGGGCTGGGTCTCAAAGCTGAATTTGGAAGAGTTTATTTCAGGATGAACAAAAGGAATCTCCTGCTAGGAGAGCTTGTTATCTCTGGTGTTCACAGCAGAGCATGAAAATCACATCAAGGAAGGATTTAAATGAGTTCTCGGAGCGCGGAGAGCAAAAGGACTAGTGAGGGGAATAGAGAAGTTCAGGGGAGCTGCTTGACCTTGTGGGATCACCACTGGGAAGTTCAGCAGCCTTCCCGGACTCCTGGTGGCCCTGCGCACCCAAGTGAACACAAGTCATGGTTGCCACGTGACCCTCTGCTCAGGTTCCAGTGTGCTGTACCCATCCCTGGGGTTAGTCTGAGCTTCATGTTCAGAGATCTCATACCCCTACTCACAATCCACACACCTCCAGGTGTCAACTTGGAGAGAGCGTGCTGAGCTCAGCCCTCTCCATGAGCAAGGAGCTGGTTCCAACCTAACCGTGGCTCTGAGAATGAGTGTGTCGTCTCTTTCCATGTGGCCAGACCACTGCTCCTAGTTGAAAAGAGCAGGGAGGGAACCAGTGCTTTGGGGACACTTCCTTTGTATCAGGCGCTGAGCCAGACATATGAACTACATGGTTCAGTACCGGCTCCCTTCACTTGGTCCTCATGCTACACCTCCACCACCTTGTGATTTTCCAGGTATGCACTTTCCTGGCCCAGGTCTGTCTACAGCTCTCCAGTGTCCTCAGGATAACGTCGGAACTCCTGAGTTGGGTACACACACTCCAGCAAAATCCAGGTCCTCCCACTTCTCTAGTCTCACTTCCCTCACTCCCTCTCTTGGATCCTTTGCGGTTCGCAGCCACCTGCAGCTTTGGGTGTATTCTGTCATGGCTGCCGTGCCCCTGCCACGTGGGGCTCTTCCTTCACGACAGGAGGATGGGATTTGCAGGGGAACCACAGTCATCAGTGGTTCCTCTCAACCCTGACTGTGTGTTAGACGCACCACAGCAATCACCCTAAAGAATAAAAATCACCCTAAAAATACCAGAGATAGGCCCATTTCAGAAATTCTGATTTAACTGCTCTGGGCTGGGGCTCAGACTTAAAACTTTTTTTGAGGGGCGCCTGGGTGGCTCAGTTGTTAAGCGTCTGCCTTCGGCTCAGGTCATGATCCCAGAGTCCTGGGATCGAGCCCCGCATCGGGCTCTCTGCTCAGCGGGGAGCCTGCTCCTCCCTCTCCCACTCCCCCTGCTTGTGTTCCCTCTCTCGCTGTGTCTCTCTCTGTCAAATAAATAAATAAAATCTTTAAAAAAAAAAAACTTTTTTTGAAAGCTCCCCTATTGATTCTAATGTTGAGGATCGATAAACTATGTGATCAAAGCTGCAGAAGGCTGAGGAGTGAGCTGGTTTTGCACGTAGGCCTACCACAGAGGTAGGAGTAGAGGTGGAACTGTCTCAGAATTGACCAAGTCAATCCTGAACATTCTAGTCCCAGGTTAAGGGAATAAGGGACAAAGCCTGAGGGAGGACAGCTCACTCTCCTGCTTCTACAATCTTGAGTTTATGTTGAAATCAGCACAGTGCAGCTCTGATCAGCTAGAAAACCAAGGTGAGAACCTACAATAATGCTAAGATAGGTCTGGATCTAGGATATTCTGGATCCTTCCACTCACTGAGGGGCTCAAGTTCATTGCCCTTACCACATGCAATGCTCCCCTCTCTATCTCCTTCTTCCACACTTCCACCCTAAGCCAGTGATGGAGATGCACAGAGTCCTGTGACCAGGAGTGAGGCTTCCTCAGTCTTAGCTGTATGCAGGTGGGCTCATAGAGGGTGAATGTCTCACCTTGCCAAGTTCCAGACATGTGTGTCTCTCTAATTCTACCTGGACTTTTCCCCACTAGGTCCAAGCAGAGACCTCTCTCAGCCTGCAGACCTGTGGTTCTTTAGCATGTATCAGAATCACCTGGAGGGATTGTTAAATGCAGTTTCTGATTCTGTGGGATGGGGTGGGGGGAGGGGCTTGAGAATTTGCATCTCTAACAAATTCCCAGGTGGTGCTGATGCTGCTGGTCCTGGCAGCACATTTTGAGAATTTCTGCTTTGAAGAACAGGTCCTTTCGGTCTGGATTCTCTGGGTATTAACCCAACTTAGGGAGTAGCA